CCCCGGCATGTGGGGATACCTGTCCCTGCTGCCTGCCTTCCTGGCATTCTGGGCTACTGCTGGCATCTGGACCGTGTGAGTGTTAGAGGCAGGATGGACCCCTGGGTCTGAGGGAGAAGGGACTGGGGGCCTGGACTCCTGGGTCTGAGGGGGGAGGGGCTGGGGACCCAGACCCCTGGGTCTGAGGAAGGAGGGCCTGGGGACCTGGACCCCAGGGTCTGAGGGAGGAGGGCTTGGGGGCCTGGACTCCTGGGTCTGAAGGGGGAGGGGCTGGGGACCCGGACCCCTGGGTCTGAGGGGGGAGGGGTTGGGGACCCGGACCCCTGGGTCTGAGGGGGGAGGGGTTGGGGACCCGGACCCCAGGGTCTGAGGGGGAAGGGGCTGGGGGCCCGGACCCCTGGGTCTGAGGGGGGAGGGGCTGGGGCCCTGGGCCCCTGGGTCTGAGGGGGAGGGGCCGGGGACCTGGACCCCTGGGTCTGAGGGGGGAGGGGCTGGGGCCCTGGGCCCCTGGGTCTGAGGGGGAGGGGCCGGGGACCTGGACCCCTGGGTCTGAGGGGGGAGGGGCTGGCGGCCCGGACCCCTGGGTCCGAGGGAGGGGGAGCTAGAAGTCCGGTTTCTGCGCGTAACAAAAAGAAAAGTTTCGTCGAACTCCCTGTACTCTCTTTGATGTCTCCTCGACTTCAGTTTTTCGCTTGCTGTGGCCAACAAGGCTGTGAACCTCACTGAAGGCTTCCCCTATATCAGGTAGTTATGGTGCTTGGGGTGGGGGGGGGTCTGGAGGGAGGAAAGAAGAGGGTCCTGGTTCTGAGGAGCTACAGGATGACCCTTTATCTCCCCCAGTCGATGTGGAAATAGCCCCCCTGAGAGCTGCATCTTCAGCCAGGTGCTCAACTTGGGAGCTGCTTTGGGTAAATACTCCCGCGCACACTTCGTTCGGTGCTAGCCCCACCCCGCCAAGAGGGCCCCGGCACCCAGCCTCCTCCTCCCCCAAATCCAGGAGCTGGGCACTCACTCCAGGACCCACAGTCTCTTCCACCCCACCCCCCACCCCCTACCCAGGAGTCTGGGGCTCGGGCCTCCCGCGCACTTCCCTCTCCTCCCAGCCGCCTGGACCTGCATTCTCCGTTACCACCAGCTTCGGGACTGGGGGGTCGGAAAGTGGCCTAACCAGCTGATCCTGTGGACAGGGCTCCTCTGCGCCTTGGGCACCTCCATAGTGGGCAATTTTCAGGTGAGACGCAGCACGCCAGCCCAGGTTCTTGCCCGCCCGAGTCTGGGACTACAACTCCCAGCATCTCCGGGGCACAGACTTCTGGTTTGGGGGGGGCTGGTCCCCGCACGGGCTCCTGGGACTTGTATTTCTCTTGTGGCTCTCGGGCCGTGGAGGGAGGGCGTTCTGGTCTCTGGATAGAGGCCTCGTGGGAGGCTCTTTGTAATCGTTCCGTTAACCCCTAGGAGTTTGGGGTAATTCACTGCCATAGCCCCATTTAATGATAAAATTTCTCAGCTCATGGTTTTCCCTGGTGGCGCAGTGGTTGAGAGTCCGTCTGCCGATACAGGAGACACGGGTTCGTGCCCCGGTCCGGCAAGATCCCACGTGCCGCAGAGCGGCTGGGTCCGTGAGCCATGGCCGCTGAGCCTGCGCGTCGGGAGCCTGTGCTCCGCAACGGGAGAGGCCACAACAGTGAGAGGCCCGCGTACCGAAGGAAAAAAAAAAAAAATTCTCAGTTCACTCCCCCTCCCGCCCCACACCCCGCACCGCGCAGCTTGGCTCGATCCTATTTCCCCAAATAGGGATCGAACCGGGGCCCTGGGGAGTGAAAGCGTGGAGTCCTAATTACTGGACCGCGGGGGAATTCCCCACTTATTCCTAATGTTTGCCATATCGATGGAGTGTTCTCTCTGCAGAAGGCACTAGCTTTGTACGTTGTGCCGGGTTATTTTAACCCATCTCCACAAGAACTCCAGGGAGGTCCTTCCTGGTCAAATCCCCCGGAGATATTTCTTTATCAGCCGGTTCGTGGTGGTCAGAGATGAACCCAGATTCGTAGACTCCAGAAGCCCACATTCTTAGCCACAAATCTCAGTAGATATTTGTAGAATAAATAAACGGATTAGTAATAGGAGAAATCTTATTGATTTATTTTATCATTTTATTTTTTATCGATTTGTTTTTCAGTATGATGTCTCTGATTCCAAATCTCTCCCGCCAAAAGGCCGTGGAAGCCGCAGGGTGTTTAGACAAGAGGCTGCCTCCAACTTAACAAAAATTCCCCATGACATTTGCATAGCAAATCATTCACTTATCATGTATTCCTGTGTTCATTAACCTTTGTTTTCCTTTAATCATTATATCTCCCCCC